TTTTTTTTAGTATTTTAAATATTAACAAACTGCTTCATACAATTATAAATGATTTGTAACATCATTGTTAGTGTTTTTTCATGTGATATAATATCAATTAAACTAATACAACTATTCCAAATAGAAATAATAGTATTTGCAATGTTTTCTCCATCTTTAATTTCTATATGATTTTTATATTTTTGTTGTTCAGAAACTAATGCTAAAATAAGTTTTTTCATTTCTTCCTGAAAATTACTGAGTTTTGCCTATCTCATAGTTAATAAATTTTATTTCTACTTTCTACTTAGTAATAAAGATAAATAACTTCCAAACAGTTAACCATGTTTTAAAAGTTGTTTCTGAAAGTCCTTTTGATGTTTCAATGAACTTTCTTATTTGTTGTTCAGAGAGTTGAATTTGTTGCATATTTCTTTATTATCTTTGGTATTAGTTTTGAAGTTGAAAGAATGAGAGTTTTCTTCTTTTGTATATGTAAAAATCCACACTTCAGTAAGAACAGAAAATAATAAAAACAATTTTTCATTTTTTTGTTATTCAATTCTGTTTTTTTTTGGATAGTTTTTGTTTTAATGAATAAGTTATTCTCTATCATCAAAAAACCGTAACATTAATAAAAAACAATTCATTGATAACATTTCGATTGTTGAGAACATACAGGGATTTGAGAAAGAACAGACAGAACAAAGGAGCAATTAATTTATAGTAGCAAAAATTGATAAAGGATAATAATAATAAAAATTAAATCAAGAAAGAGTTTTATTACTATCATGGTAATAGAATAAGCATTAGATCTTATTGATAATGGCCATCATCAAAATGATGACTATTGTCATACTTTAGATATTTGTATTTTCTCTTTTATAGATACAAATATAAAAAGAGAAATAAGAGGTACTATAAGAGTTAGAATTTAAAAGACAATTCACGTTGTAATGATTCAAGAATATTTTGATTGAAAGATATTAGATACCACTGTTCTTTATAACAGATTAATATTTGAGTAGATATGTAATTGTTTTTATCTTTTTTAATCTTTTGAGTGATTTCTTTTTTTTGTTTTATATTAATTTTAAATTCTCGATAATTCTTTGTTAATTCATTTAATCGTTCAGTTCCATATTCCATACTCTTCTTATCTTTTGCTGTTAATGAAATAAGTTCATTTGTTTCTTCTTCATCTAATAAATCTAGTACTTCTTTTTCAATATAATGAACAAATTGATCTTCATCCTCAAATTGTAATTCAACTTCCCCAAAATACCAAGCAGAACAATCAGTCATTTCTCCATTTAAAGCCATAACTAAAGCACCACAAACTTGTGGTTGAAGTGGTAATTCAATTTCTTCAATAAAAACTTCTTTTGATAATTCTCTTATGGCTCGACTAAAGATATTAGATTGAGGGCCTTTTGCAACAATACTTTCATCAAATACATCATAGTCAACTTCACATCTTTCCATTAGTGCTTGGATATCTGCTTGATCCCATTTTAGAATATGACGAAGTTCTAGAGTTAAACCAACTTCAACTGTATAGTCTTCACTTTCTCCAGCAAGTTCAATTAATGGATTTTCTTCATGTGGATTTAATTTATGTTCTTTTAGAGTCACTTCGTTATTTAATTGGTCTTTTATTTGAATAACATTATTTGGTTGTTCAGTGCCATCTTTTCCTTCTTCTTGAACATCTTCTTTTACATTTTTTAAATCAACAAAGAATTTCTTTTGTAATTGACTTTGCTTAACAACATTTCGTTCGTCTCCATATCCATAAAAATGGAAGGCATTGTCTTGTTCAATTAATTCTAAATCTTCTTTACTAAGTTCTTTTTGTTCCTTAAGACCACTATACAAATTATTAATTCTTTGAAACGCTTGATCCCTTTCACTGATTTCACTTTGTTCATCAATAAATTTCTTTTTAGTTTTTAATGTATATTTGGGAGTGTATTCTCTCAAAACTTTTTTTTTTGCTTTTAATTCAAGAGTAGTTTCTTGAGGTTTAATAAAATCATCACCATCAAATACTGAAGAAGAGATATTAGATTTTTCAGTAGGAATGGTTGTAGGAATAACTTCTTTCTTTTTGTCAACATATTCATAAGATCTTATAATATTCATTGAAGGTAGAGACAACTGAATGTCTTGTTTTATTGAATTGGAACATAACTTTCTTCTAGAAATAAATGCATCTTGTTTAGTGAATACACCGAGATACATTCGTTTTGCAACTTGAGTACAGGTGATATTATCATTTGTTGTTGGTACTCGAAGAATAAGAACAACATAAGTACTCCTTTCTAATAAGGTCTTAGCATTATATAAATCATATTCGTCAGTAACAACATTTAATTTATTGTTAAACTTATCTTTAAATATACACCCTAAAATTCCATGTCTTGCTAGTAAAGCTTGTCCACGAGCAAGGAGATGATTATGGAAAACTTCGTCTATTTTAAGTTGTCGTGACTTAATAGAGGAGAGTCTATTGATGATTATTTGTTTTGCAAAAGGATAAGGAGGGAAAAATGATAATGTCATTGAAATAAAATTTCCTATTACATTAACATTTGGCCTAATAGATTCAATAAATGATTTCATACATCTTAGTGTGTAATGATAGAGATAAGGAGTAGAAGCAAGATGAATTTGAACATCAGATGGTCCAATTTGTAAAGGGTCCATTAAATAACGAGATTTTTTTTAAACTTTCATAATTTTGTTATTTATAGTTCCTATAAATAGAAACAGATAATAAAAAAATTATAAATTATAATAATAAATTAAAATAGAATGAAACTATAAAAGCCCATCTGTTTTATTGTTAAGTTCAGATGAACGCTCCAAGGTTTGATCAAAATAAAAAGAAAGAATTTATGCTTCGAACAGGATTTTCTATGGGAGTAACTGTTGTTGTTACATTTACACTTGCTTTTTCAATTCTTTTTATTATTGGACAATCAACATTATCTGCATTAGGGAATTCATTTGTTTTTTCAGTTCTTATGATGATAAATACATTAGTTTTATCATTAATTTGTAATAGTTTGTTTAAATTTAAAGTAAATGATATGAATAAAATAATAACTATTAGATAACAGTAATTATTTAGATGATTATTCAAAGTTATTTAAATCAACACAATCTATTTTGAGAGTCAGTACAATTTTTGTTATGTCAATTTTAATTGGATATTATTCAATGAATGCATTAAAAAATGGATTAATTAATGAAGAAGATACATATGAAGTTGATGAATTTTCTATGTTATTTTCAGTTGTTGGAATCTTCTTTGGAATATCAAATTCATTTATTTATGTTTTCTTAGATACTCTTTATATTCAATATTTTGTAAAACAAATAAATGAAGGGGATATTCAATACATTTCATTTGTAGTAGGTAAACAAACATTTATCTCATTTATTTTAAATTTCATAATTTTCATATTTAGTGTTGTTGTAGTAAAAGTATATGTATTCTTCTTAGCTGGATTTGGACTAGATTTAGAAGTATATACTTTACCATTTGATACTGTTGATTTAATAAGATATATGATGATAATATTATTGTTCTCATTTAGTAGTAGATTCTCATTCAAGTTCCTTTCATATAGGATGAGTTTACAATGAATGAATATTTAATTGATTCCTTTTCTTTTTAAAAATTAATTTAATAATTAAAACAAAGTACAATTAGAATAGTAGTAGTAAAGTTTAAGTAAAAAGAAAAACGTTTATTCATTCTGGTGATAATTGTAAATCTAATGGTGATATACATAATCCAGATGAAGGAGATAATGAAGCTGAATTACTAGTTGAATGAAACGAATTAATAGGACTTTTTAAATGAAAAGTTCTTGACATACTTGAAGTTCTAGGTTTAACAAAATCTTTATTAATAACAAAGAATTGAGGATGTTCTCTTCTGATTTTACTTCTTCTATAAATTGTTGTATCACTAACGTTTGGATTTATTTTATAATTATAAGATGGTATAAATGAATCAATATAAAAGAAATCATTATCATTTCTAAGTTCTACTCTAACTAATGCCATTGTCGAATGATCTAATTTTCCAGGGG